TGTATCTTGTATATGTCGGCTTGAGAAGCCTTTTGATCAAGATGTAATATGTACTTTATTTTATTTGTATCCAAGTTGTAAGACCATGTTAAGATGTATGTCATTTCATTTAATCTATGCACAGCTCTTATGGACTAATTAGATTGAAATTTATTGCTTCTGTACATGTAAGCCCCATATGTATACTCTGATTGTGTGTGAATCCTTGTAAGTTGACCTTTGGTAATCTCGGATTACTGGCCATCACGGCACCATTCTACTACGGGCAGAATGGGGTCGTGACAGGATGAGAAGTATCTTGTCTGATATTCCATTGTAGGGGAAACCAATAGCTTTGATTTCTACACATTGTGATTCACAAGTAATAATAGCTCGAGCAAAGAACAATATATACAATAGAAAGAGTCGAGACATAAGATTAAGACACAACATTGTCAAACAACTTATGAGCAATGGTGTGATAACCATGGAGTTTGTAAAGTAAAAAAAAAAAAAACTTAGCTGATCCTTTGCCAAAAGGACTAAACAAAAAGCTAGTATATGATACATTGAGGGAGATGGGACTGAAGCCAATCATGTGAATCTCCAATGATGGGAACCTAACCTATGTGATTGGAGATCCCGTAAAGTAGGTTCAATGGGTAAGAACAAGTCATGGAGAGATTCTATTTGCACTATCATTAATTGTCCCTCCCTATGGTGTAGATAGTGCTACTATCAAATAAGGAAAATGGTGAGTCATGAACTCTTAATGAACTCATAACCATTATTGGTGGTGTGTAATAGTACACACTTGATGAGTTCACCTATACGGGTGTGGAAGTGGGGTCGCTTCCCTATGAGAGTATGGCAAATTCTCTAGAGAACTCATGAATATCCAGGTGTAGCTGGTTTTTTGCGCTCTTCGGAGGGATTTAGCCTCCTCGGATGCGATTTCCTACAGTTTGGACTCCCATGGTTTTGAATCTGGTTTCACAAGTGCAATGTGAAACATAAAAACGAATGACATTCCAAATTTAGTAAATCTTAGAAAATCCATTAATTACCAAAGATGTCAAAAATATACAACATTGCCAGATTTCAAAGTCGCCATCTAAATATTTTTAGAAAATTTAATAAACCAGCGACTCGTGCAAAAGGCCACTTGTCCGTTATAACCTCGGCTCGGGAACTTAGGTATGAGAAGGGAAGGTCATGAATTGAGCATCTTACTTCCCCAATCAAAGATCGGCCTCTACTAAATCATGATGTGAATTTTATAGACATTATATGCTCATGTTTTGATTATTAATATATTAAGGCCTTGTTTGGGAACAGGCTATTTTAATAACTTCTTGACTTTTTACAAAAAAGATGTGCAGAAAAGTAGAGAGAGTAATGTGATAATTTATAGTGACTTTTTGGCTTTTTGGCTAAAATAGAAGGTTACCAAACGAGACCTAACATTACTATGTGAAGAAAACAAGTTTAGAGCGCGTCACTTACTTTGGGATACTTTGATTTTATGCGATTTTTAAAGAGTTTTTGAATATGTACAACTCAAAAGAAAAACGAGTTCATATGTACAATAATCAAAGTCATTCCAATTTAACCCTCTATCTAGTGGCCTTCATAGAGATATTTCAAGTAAGTGAGTAGCCTTACGGTAGTATGCTTGACATGGTAACAAAGACACACATGCAGTATGCTAAAGCAAAAAATGCTCATCTAGTACTCAACCGAGGCAAGTCAAAGAAAATAAGCTAGTTAGAAAAAAATGTATGATCCTAATATGCACATGACTAATGCAACACACACAAAACGCTATTACTGGATTCAATTATTAACATGACATATGAATCAACTCAAAGCATGTGATCGTGCACATAATCAAGTAAGAAATGATCAATGATATCAAGTATGATGATCCGAACCTTAATGCATGTAAAAATGAATACAAATCATGGTAGTGATTAAAAGAAAATATGATGCTATACAACTATGGTAACCATTTAAATAAAAGGGAGAAACAAATAGGGGTTGGAAGACATACATCAAGTGTTACAAACTTGCCCTCGTACAAGAGGGTTCAAATGGCCTAATCAACTAATTATTACAAAACACAAATAAATTAACTAATTATTACAAAATACAAATTTCAAAGTGATTAATTTAAGGAATTGAATAAGAGGTGGGGGATCATGTGCGCACAAGAAAAAACATCCTCCGGAAACCTTCTCTGCTTATTGCCAGAAATTGCCCTATTCACAGTCAGAAAATAGTTTTGTTTTGAACCTCAGGATCTACTTTGTTTTGCTATAAAACCACCACTGCCATATAAACAAAGTGGTTGGCTAGCCTTATGAGATGGTCGGCCATACAAGATGGTGGCTCGCCGGCCCTTATTTCTAGAGGAAACCTGCTGCAACAAAATTGGAACAGAGCAAGACAAAGGATTTCTAAAGGATGCTTATCCCTTATGTCCTTCCCTATCATGATGATATTCAAGGGAGAGGTAGATTTGTTTCTCAAATCATCAACTATCGCAAAGTTATTGCATGATGATCTTAGAAGCAATAGAAAAAGGCTTTACTAAACAGAAAAACAAGACTATTCTACCTACTTCTTTCCTATCATGAAGTTACTTCAAGGAAGAGATGGACACACTTCATAAATCATCAAACATCACAAGTTAGTATGTGATGATCATAGAAGCGTCTAAGATAAAGAAATAACAACTCAAAAATTATTGTAAACTCTTCTTACTACTCATGGAATATGGATGAGACATCCATTTCCATGCTTCAAATATGGAACTAGAAGAGAGATCACAACAACTTTTGAAGAAGATAACACACAATAATAAGCAAGATAGACAACTAGTTAATCAAACTTGTGTTAGGATGGCTAAGCTTTAAACCCCCCCATGATCACAAGGGTCCAAATATACTATGAAAAGCTATGAAAATCAAAGTAAAACAATCAACTCAACGAATTGGTTGCTATATCCTAAACGCACCAAATCCGTGAGGACTTACAACAACACAACTCTAGCATTCAAAGTATAAATTAACACATTAAACAACCCACAAACAACACAAAACAGTGTTGAAAATTAGTTTTAAGAGGTGAAAAATATGAGCAAAAATTGAAGAAAACCAAGAGGTTACATCTAGCAAGCAAGCCTAAGGAAGGGTGGCTAACCCCTCCACTTTTTTGTAACCTTAAATCACATAATTCTGTCCCAAAATATCCTGAAAAACAGTATGTAAAGACAAGAAAAAGAGAGAGCAAAAAAAATGAAAAATGTTCAAAGCTCACCTCTTGAAAGAGAGGAAGATCTTAATTAACAAACTCCAAACTAAACACCTTTGAGTATCTAAAAAATAGCTTGAAACTTTAGCAAAAAGCTTCAAGTTTAAGCTTCAATGGTATATCTATAGTATCTATATTCAAGGGGGGTGGAGAAGTGTGTTGGACAAGCTTTTAAGCCTTTAGCAATTTTTCTAATCCTAAATTCTAAAAGGAGGTGTTGTATTTATAGATTTTCCATCGCCTTCCAACGGAAATATCTTCAAAAGAGAGCAGCTGGCCAAATCCCGTGCATGGGAGCAACTTGTTGTTGCAAAATATCTGCTGCATTGAACATGGCCAGTCGGCCAATCAATTGTACAACCGACCCAAAAAAGTGGCCTGTTGGTTAACTTTTGGTCTTGTTGTTCTTTGAGTGGTTAGGCTAGAAAAACAGGTTTCGGTCCAAATGGGGTGCAAGGTTTAGGTTCGAAGCTCAAAACTGAATTCTTTTACTGAAGATTCGAAAGATTGCATTGCGTAACATTTCATCATTGAGTGTTCAGAGTGAAACGTCAAAGTCTTAAGGACGGTCAAAATGGGGTGTCTACACTAAGTGAAGTGCACGGCCAAAAAGCGCTAAAACGAGAACTTGTATGGATTGGAGTCGAGGTATGTGTCCAAGTATGAGAATTTATATAAAAGTCGATAGGTTCAAGACACAATTTACCTAACTTCGGTAAATTCCAAATTGAGAACACTAAGCGGTGATTTAAGTCCACAAGATATTAACATTATATATCTAACTTCGTGCCTAGCGATATATATTCTCTCTCTTTCTCTGTTTTAAAATTTGAATCACGGGGGGATTGTTGGAATGCTTCAAATTTGTGTGAGTAACATAGGTATATGTATTTTTATTTCCAAAATTTTGATTTTAATCACATGATTGGACTTCTTATTTCAAAATCTTTCAAATTTGGAAACTTTTTTTTCACTCTCTTAATAGGCTCCAACCCCATATTCTATAAAATAAATATTTACTTCCTTTTTTATCCTCCCTACCTTTTATATATTATGGGTCAGATTTGCATAATAGGTATATAGAAAGAAAAAAAAAATTTCTTCTCTTTCTCGTTTCTTTTATATTATTGGACATCCATTGTCACAAGTTCAAATGATTGCTTGTGAGTGCACACAAATTGTTCTGCTGTTGAATCCTGGAGAGTGACTGCCAAGAGCCTATTTGCTTCAAAGAAACAATTAAGTGGGGGCGAAATCACTTTCAAGGATAGTGGATTTAGTTCCGCACCTGGATTGAAATTTGATAAGATATTTTCCTCTATTATTTATATTCATTGTTTTTTATTCGTTTGGATTTATTATATATTCATTTGTATTGATTAATTGAAGCACTTTTATACTACTATTTCTAACATACTGCACTTTACTCTTAGCTAATTCAACCAAAAACCTCAAAAAACAAACAAAACCTCAAAACCATGAAAAGAAGAAGAACAAGACAACTAACCAACCAACCAAACAACCCACATTAGTAGACACATCTCTTCCAACAGAAAAAATGGCACCCACTCACCCAACCACCAAACGAAACAAAACAAACCCATCTCACACCATCTCTTTTATCTCTGATTAGGCCACTCCACTAATTAACATAACCAACAGAGAGAAAAGAAAAGAAAAGAAAAGAAAAGAAAACGAAAGAAAAAATGTGTTATGTGGGGAAAGCAACGAAGATCTTCATCTTCATAGTGACAGTGCTTGTGGTGACTGGACTTCTCTTGGGTTTCGGGCTGCTTCGTCACGGCATTGGCTACTCCCACAAATGCTCCGGCGACCCCTCCTCCTCCTGCCACCAGTCTCAGACGTCTTTTCCCAGTCCCAACCCAAATCCGAATCCGAATCCGAGTTCCATGTTCAACCAACCTCCCCTTCCTCCACCTCCGCCGGCGGTGGTGGAGACAGCAGCTCCAACTCCGACATTCAGTCCTCCGAGCCCATTTGTGTCTCCAAGTCCATTTGTTTCTCCAAGTCCAGTGCAGTCTTAGTTGCTTAGCTAGATCAAAAAAAGTTGTTTCAATTTTTTGTTGTTGATTCATATTGGTTTTGTTGTGTCTGTTTTGGAATGTTTGAATGAATTCTTTGATGGGTTTGTACATTGTATAGGGAGAGGGAGATCAGATCCAGATGTTGTTTGTTTGTTATTCATGGTTTATCCAATGTAAGGCGGATATTCTTTCCCTTGCTACTTTTCCATGTCCGACCCATAATTGCTTTAACCACTTAATTCATCTGACCCACTGACCACATTGTCTACTCGAAAGAAGTGAGTAATTTCCGGTCAATGTGTAATCAAATATATAAATTCACACAAATTTTCTCACCTGATTTCCGAATATGTTTTTGACAGGTAAAAAAATGATATTCTTGCCTCTTAATGACACATTTGAAAGGGATTTTTTTTTTAAAAAAATTATGTGAATGTAATATTGTTCATTATATAATTTGTAAAATGATGCTGAAAACATCTAAAAATAAAATATATATTATATATTCAATTTGATGGGAGTGGTGGATCATACACTTAAAATAAATTTAATTTGCAAATTAAATTTTGATACTTCTCTCTGTTTCAAATATTAATTTTTTATTATTTCAAAATATTAATTTTTTTTTTCAAAAATTAAAGATTAAAATTATATGAATTTTCTATTTTGCCCTTCATTTGAATTCATTAACATTATTTGAAGCAATGTTTTCAAATCCGGACCGGACCGGCTGGTTAGACCGGTGGCCAGACCTAATTTCGATCTGTATGACCCTCCAAATCCAGACTATGCTCAAAATCGATTTAGAATTTGAAAATCAGAACAACTGCCAGTTCAACTGGAATAACCGGTCACGAGTCAACATAGAACTGGTTGAGTATGAAAAATTAAAATTTCTTCCAAAAATATGTTGTGGAGAGGGCTTGAACAGGGAACCAAGTGCATAAAAAGTAAGCACTCAAGCTATGAAGCCATCAACAATTGTTGACAATGAAATAAGCATATATACTATATTCAATATTATCTTAATTATTTTTACTAAAAGTCAATGTATAAAAAGGGTAAAATAAATTTTAATAAATATTTTTTTTTGTAAATGTTTATTATTTATTAATTTTTGTAATTTTAATATCTATATTTTTTATACTTTTAAATTTTAATATATTTATGACATAATTATGACATCACAGTTCAATTTTGATTCACTTGCGATTGAACCAGTGATCCATCCACTCAGTTACTTTTCCGATTTGCTCACCGGTCTAGTCTTCAAAACATTGATTTGAAATATAAAATTGAACTATCAAAGGATAGTTTTGAAAAGTTAATATTTTTTAAGTATAATAATTGTATTATCAAAAAAAAGCTAGGTTCTCTAAAATGAACTAATACTTTGAGACGGAAGGTGTATAAAATTTTTTCCCCCTCTAAATATGCACCAGTATTATTTCTTAGGCCTCGTTTGTTTTGGGGTGTAATAGATGGGAGGGGATTAGGATAGAGGTGGGGTTATTTTGTATTGTGTTTATTTGTAAAGTTGGGGAAGTGATTAGGATAGAGGAGGGGATTAAGATGGAGGTTGGAAAGGGGATTGGGATGGAGGAGGTGAAGGTGGAGATGGTATTAGAAAAATAGTGAGGGGATTAGAATTTTTTTTATTTTTTATTTTTTTATTTTTACATATTTGGAATTTTTTTTAAAACATTAATGTTTAATTTTTTATATTTTTTTATTTGTTTTATTATTTTATATAAAAATAATTTAATAATTCCTACACTAACAACTATTATTAAAATAAACACAATTTTACTTAATCCCCTCACTAACAATCTGCTCACTATTAATCTTCTTACTATGAATCCCCTCCATTCTACTTTTGAAAACGAACGGGCTTTAGGCCTCGTTTGGGAACAAGATTTTTTAATAACTTTTTTGCTAAAATGTGATGTAAAAAAAACTAGTATGTTTGTGACAACTTTTTAACTTTTTACGAAAATATGTGCAAAAAGTAGAGAGAAAAGAGAATCTCTGACTTTTTGGTATGAGTTGTTGACTTTTTAATTTTTTTAATAACTTTTTAACTTTTTGACTAAAATGGACACTTGCCAAACGATGCCTAAGTATGCAACATATAATGAGGATGGAAGATGATAATGGGTTTCTATTTTCATTTATTTTTAGATAAGTTGTCATCTTGTCTAGTATTCATAATAATAAAAAAATGGGGCAATTACATATATAATGTAAAAATTTATAATTTATAATTTTAATATTAATATTTATAATGTTTATCATTAATTTATAATTAATTTTACAAAACACCAATTTGGTATCTTTCCTAAAATAATTTTCCTTATCAAGGTTCTATTTGGCTATAATTGTACAAAGGCTGAGATTTGAGTGTTTACCATTGAACCCAAAATATATATATATATATACATATATATATTTGAGTGCCAAATTTTAATGTAATAACTTTTAGACAATTAGAGAGAAAGTAGTTTTCTATTATTATCTACCTGCTTTAGGCAAATCTTACCTCAAAATAATTTTGCAACTTTTTTCACAGCTCATCACAAAACAAATCATAATCAATAACACTATTATTAATGCATAGCAGCTCATTACATCCACTTGTTATTTATTTCGATATTGCTACATGCACCAATTAATATACTAAGTAGTGTATTAATACTAGTTATGACATTATTATTGATCTCATTCATTATACAAATTACAAATATCAAAAACCTCTTAAATTATGTCATATTATTAATTACTACACTAATTGATACATATAATATTATTTTATTCCTTTCTTTCACTGCCCAGCATTGAGGTCAAAGATAGGATTTTAATCTTGAAGAGACGAATGTATATATAAGGAAAAAAATTGTAATGAATATGTAAAATATAATATCAATTTTTATCAACACAATGTAAAAATATCACAAAAATATATCATTAGATATATTTATTCAATGTATATAATTAATTAAAAAATATAATCAATAAGATATGTGACTAGATAAATTGATATAAAATCATCCCATATCATGTTTTCATCAATACTTGGCACAACTTAAAAATGTTACAACTTTTAAAATTGGGGATGCTTAAGACTATCAATCTTATAGTTTTACAATTAAAATTGTAATTAAATGCAATTTTCTTTTTTTGTGAAGTCATTGGAATAAAATATATTTATAAATTTGTAAATATTTTTAATTTTGAAAGACTTATAAGTATCTTTAAGATCTGAAACAGCGCTAAGAAACTAACTCACTTTAAAAATGATCTCAAGAAAAATTGAGAAATATTCAGTGTGCTTGGTTTGAGTTTTTTGGATTAAGTTTTTTGAAAATTGAGTTTTTTGATTTTCGTATTTTTTTGTTTTTAGTGAATATTTTTAAATTTTTTAAATTTTAAATATTTTTTTTTACTTTTTTAGATGCACCTTACTTAGATGTATCTAAAAAGTAAAAAATTTGTGAAAAAATATTTTAAAAAATTAATAAATACATAAAAATATAAAATATGTACTGAATTGTTATATATTTTTTTTTTGTATTTTTGGTATTTAGTAAATTTTTAAAATATTTTTTTTACAATTTTTTTACTTTTTAGGTGTATTTATATTAGATGTGTCTAAAAATTAAAAAAATTGCTTAAAATATTAAAAAAATTCAATAAAAATAAAAAAATACGAAAAATAAGAAAATAGAATTTTCTGGAAAGTGTTTTTTGAAAAATAAAAACAAGTAAGGTGATTGTTATTTGAAAGATTTGTTCTATTTTTGAAAATAATCATTCAAACATCCAAGCTTAACCCATCGAGCTTGCTAGGAATCTTGCTTTGATTATTTATTCCATTCAAGTTTTTGTGTCATGGTGAGTATATCATTAATAAAAAAAATTTAATTGATTCGATAAATTTATTTACACGATTTTATTATCTTTAATTTTAAAAAATCGAACAACATGTATGACTTTAAAAATAAACTATTCATTTTTTTGAACACTAAAGATAATAAAATCGTGTGTTACGGTTGTTAAATAGTTTTTGTTTAATGGATAACAAATCATCAAAGTGAAACATGACAAGCAAATGGACTAGACTCGACCATCCAGTTCAATCCACATATTAGAGAGAGTTCAGTTTCTAAGTGCATGTTTGGTACAATAGAATGGACTGTAATGAAATGTCTATTCTAACTTTGCATTTCATTTTCCTTATTTGGTATGTCTTATTTAAGTAAAAATAGTCATTCTATACATTGAAATGGCTATTCTAACAAAATGTGTAAATGCTATTTCTTCCTCCAACCTAAGGGGAGTATCTATTCTACTCCATCATAGAATTACTATAAAATTTTATTATTATTATCTTTTTATTAGCACTTAAAAAAAATATTATTATTTAACTACTATTACTGTTCTATTCTCCTACCATCTTATCGCCGCCGCCGCCGCCGCCGCCCTATTGCCACTATCAATGTTTTAAAAATCGAATCGGTGAGCAAATTGGAAAAGGGATTGGATGGACGGGTCCGGTTCAACCGTCGAGTTGAATCGGAATTGAACCATGACATCATAAATATATTAAAATTATATTTAAATAAAATATAAGTAATGAAATTATAAATTAAAAATATTAAATTATCTTAAATATTTCTCCTAATATTTTTTTATACTAAAAATATAATAATATATTTTAAAATATTATTAATTTTAATTTTGAAATAGGAAACCAAATATTCAATATTCCCTCCATATGATTTTAATTCAAATAATTTGAAAAAGCAAAAATCTTGGAGGGATGTCAAAATTTTAAGTCTTCCTCCAATAAATTTGATTAAATCCCACATGAATTTCTTGAGTTTTTTTGAAATAAATTTTTTTCTTATAAATAGGTAGAAACTTTCACAATAATTTCAAACTCTCTCTTATAGTTTCTTTTTTTGGACTTAGGCCCGTTTATTACGAATAAGAACGTGGATTCTCCATTAAAACTCCCTTTATAAGATTTATTTTATACAATAATGACCCTTAGGCCCTTTTTTTCCCCCCCCCTCCCCACAAAAAAATTTCAAGCTCTCTCTTGTAGTTTCTTTTTTTGGGTTTAGGCCTCGTTTAATACCAAAAGAAATAAATTTCAAACTCTCAATAGGATTTCTCACGAGAAGAGACTTTTGAAAGAGAATTTTTAATTAAAATTTTCTTATATATATAATAAGAAAAAAAGAAAAAAAAGAAAGAATAAAAAAAATAGTTTTAAAATATCAAAACAAAGTTCAAATTTTTTAATTTTATCAACCGGGCTAGTTCACCTGACTTGCCCCCAGGTCAATCGGTTCGGCAGTCCAATCGTCGATTTTTTTGATTCTCTCTAAATAGGCCAATTTTTTAATTGGAACGGTTTAGAGGATATATTCGAACTGGAACTCTAACCGGTTGACTGTTCAACCGGTCGACTGTTCAACTGGTCGAATCGGCAAGTCTGATATGGTTTTTAAAACCATGGCCACCACACCACCATATTACCACTACTGTACTGTTGATGTTGCCACTACTACCACTACCACTACCGTAGTACCACCACTACCGCCACCATCACTACCACCACTACCACCACCATCGCAATCACAACACCACCTTACCACTATTAAGGCCACAACAATCTATTACCACCATCTTATTATCATTGTTATCACCACCACAGATGTCGCCACGGCAACTGCGACCACCACTACTACGACTCACATCATCACTGACACAACTATCAATATTATCATGATCTATATAAATTTTTAATTTATTTGTTACTAATTTGTTAAAAAAATAAATAAACAATAAAATCTTATTACATTCCATTAGTTTAATAGGTATAACCAAATACAAGAATGAGTATCATATTCATATGTCATTCTATGTTGGTAACCAAACAATAGAATGAGAATGGGCATTTCATTCTATTCAATCGGTATTCCATTCTCACTTCATTTCATTCAATCGTACCAAACATACTCTAATAGATAACAGTAAAAAAAAAAAATTGATGTATAACACTATTTGACCATATGTTTGCATGAGAAATAAACTATGTATATTCTTTAATTTATCAATTGATACGAAATAATTTAAAAATATTGTTATTCGAAAAAAAATATATACATATTGTGAGATTTATATATCAGTTTTAATATTCAATTAAATAAGACAGCCTAATGATACATTGCCACAAATATACAGTCCATATTTAAAGACTAAAAATTTTGTTTGATTTTCAGAATTTATTTGTTAAAAACTAAAAATTAATTTGGTGAAAAAAATAAAAAAATAAAAACAGTTATCATCTGGTAGAAATTTTAAAAAAATAATAATAAAATATAATCATATTTCACCTATTTTCTTTTTTTACTTTTCAAATTCTTAAATTTTATAATTTAAACACAACTTTAGTAGTGACAGTCAAACCTCTTTTCCAACTCCTTCCCTAACATTTGCTTTAAATTATTAAAATTGTATTTGGTTTATGAATTTGAAAATAAATTTTAAAAAAAACAGTATCTAAAATATAATTATATTTTATACACATTACATTTATCTTTTTCTTTTGCGTTTTTAAATTGCTTCATCAAACACAGCGTAAGAGGTTATGATGTTCTGAAGGCTTTCTGAAGCTATAAACTCATTTGAGCCGGCCCATACCGTGGCTCAGGTAGCAGAGTCCGGATTCTCGGCCGCCCTTCTCGGCGGCCGTTCCCAGCAGCCCCCCAAAACGACGTCGTTTTGGGGGTTTTTTGATTTATTTTTTTTTTCTTTCTTCTTCCTCGTTCGAACAGAACCAGAGGGGAGGGGAGGGGAAGAAGAGAGAGAGGGGGAGGGGAGGGGAAGAAGAGAGAGAGGGAGGGAGAGAAGAGGGAGCCGCCGGTGGGCCGGACTGGAGGGGGCCATAATCACCGGGGGAGGAGGAGGAGGCGGAAGGCGGAGGCACGGCGGTGCAGCTGCTGCGACGAGCTGGATCGGGCGACGATCGGACAGCTGGCGAGGCTCGACGACCTGCGACGGCGAGTCTTCGACGAATCCGGACCCCTCCCCTTCCCTTCTCTCTCTCTTCTTCCCCTCCCCTCCCCCTCTGGTTCTGCGAAAAAAAAATAAAAAAAAAAAAAACCCCAAAACGACGTCGTTTTGGGGGGCTACTGGAACGGTCGCCGAGAAGGGCGGCCGAGGATCCGGATTCCAGGTAGCATTTGATTATAATTAAGCAATTGAAAAATTAACGTATTACGTGAAAATTAATTATGTCTGTTTAATAATATCATTTAAAATTTTGAGCAATTCTTAAAATATAAATTAAAATTTTTATAAAAAATTTAAGTGATACAAAATATAATTAATTTTGACTGAATTTGTAAATACTTATGTATAAGTATCAATTTATGAAGGGTTTGATTGGTTGTTCTTAAGTTATCGTCTCGATTTTGAGAGAGTATTTGAGTTTAGTAGATTTATTTTCGAATCAATTCCGGTGATTCGGACCATTTTTTTTTATACTCGTTTAGTAAAATATTCATGCCGAAAATTAAGATGATTAGATAGCGGTAGTTATACGTTTAAATCATATTTATTTTAAAAAAATAAATGATAAATATAGTTTTAAAAATAACTATTTATTTTTGTAATACAAATTTTATTCAAACATATAGCTAATGATATCCGATTATCTTGACTTTTTGCATAAATATTCTACTTAACAAATCTTAAAAAATAAGCAGTTTGGATCTTCGTGGCCCTCTTAAATTCTCTCACATTGAGTGAACATGAGAGAAATCTAACCTATTAATAAAATATAATTATATTTTATTTACATTTGACTCACATTTTTTATTTTTTTTTAGATCTCTATTTAATTTCATTCATAATCCGGCCGTAACTTTAGAATAAATTCAAATTACATCGGGCAAATTACACTAATAGTCCCTATAATTTGGGGCTTGTGTCACTTTAGTTCCTGACTTTTCAATTGTGACATATTTGACCCTGAATTTTGAATCTTGTTTCAAATAAGAACAATTGAACATACCATTGCTTAATTTCAATGGTAAAATTGTCAATTTAATAAAATATAAACTAATTTGACAAAAATAAATATCAAAAAAATATTTTAAAATTTTTAAAAATTATTTCTACTCACCAAAAATAAAATTATGTAAAATAGATAAAAATTAATAAAAATTACATGATTAATTTTTAAAAATTAATTTTACATAATCATTATCCAAATACATAATAAAAATTAATTTGGTAAAAAAAAATAAATGTCTAGAAAATTTATTAATTTTATATAATTTTATCTAATTTTATCTTTAATAGGTAGAAATAATTTTAAAAAATTCAAAAATAATTTTTTAACATTTATTTTTTTCAAATTAATTTATATTTTATCAAATTGACAAGTTTGTCCTTGAAAAATCTAATAGTATCTTCAATTGTCTTTATTTGAAACAAAATTCAAAATTCAGGGTCAAATTTGTGACAATTAAAAAATCAAGAACTAAAGTGATACAAACTCCAAACTATAGGGACCGTTAGTGTAATTCACCCAATTACATCCCTAATTTTTGTTAGTACTCCCTCAATTCTATTTTGTTGGTCAACTATTCTATTTTGGGATGTCTCAAAATAATAATAATCTCATTTAAAATGTCAAAGTAAAAAAATATTTAATTTTTCAAAACTATCCTTTTTAGTAATTATAAATATATTAAAATTTTAAAAAGATAGGGTATTAGTGATAAAATATTGAAAAATTCTATTTACACCACTAATTTATCTCTTTACACCTTTTATTTAAGATGTTTCAAACCCTTCCACGCCGTTCAAACCCCCTCTACGTCGGTGTTGGCCAATCGTCTTCCCTGAATGTAGTTCTCTTTTATCTTCTTTTTCTTTCAAAAGCAATCGTCGTAAAGATACAAAACTGAAACGATTATGAAGGGTTTTAGTTTAGGATTAGTTTTGATAGTGTAAGAGGTATAATGAGAATTATATTTTTTTCCCATAAAATTTCTCAAAAATATTTTAAAATTTAAATTTAAATATATTAATTACATATCTTCATAAGAATCCGCAAAATGGACCAATAAGGTCAAGTTTGGTTAACCTAAAAAAGTGCACTTATTTCATTTTTTTATCTTTTTTGGATCATATCAATCAACATCTTCTCTCTACTTTTTCTACACATAATATAAAAAAAGTCAAAAAGTACACTTATTGAATCTTCTCAAACTTGGCCTAAATTGGGACCGAGTTCGTCAGTCAATTATTAGTTAGTCAAACAGGAGCCCTTAACCAGGTCGGAAAAAAAAAAAAAAAAAAAAAAAGCCCTTAGCCCACGTGGACAAAATGCCGTCTACTTTGATGACATGCACCAGTTCGGTTGCAAACTCAACGCCTGCGTCATCACTTCCATTCCCTCGTCATCCAAACAGGAAAAGCCCTTTCTTTTCTTTCCTTTTCTTTCCTTTCCAGCCAAACAAATCAACACACACAAACTCTACACATTTTCTTGCAAATTGCTGTGCCCCAAACAAACTCCCAATACTTGAAGAGTTCTCTGAATTCGATGGAAATTGATCCCTCGGAGAACTCTGATTGGTTCTTCGATTATGGATTGATTGAAGACGTCTCCACCGTCCCCGCCGGACACTTCACGGAGCCGCCGCCGCCCTGTATCGTCTGGCCATCTCAGGCCCTCAACGGTTCCTCCAATGCCAGGTTGGTCAGTTCTTTCTCTTTTTCTCTTAATCCTCTGTTTGGCTACCGAGAAAAGTGCAAGGAAAAGATAGGAAAATGGTGTCTTGAATCATTTGCTTTGTGTCCTTGTGGTTTCTGAATTAGGAAAAATTATTCGAAGCCAAAGAAGTAGCTGATGGTAGGCTAATTTGAGTAGAATTGTTAGTTTTTCTTTTCATCCAAGGAATAATCTGAGTTTACATTCCTCAGCTATTCTAGCTTATTGTATATGTTCTTTCAATTGTTTTAATTGATAGGTCAACTTGTAACATTTAAAATTTGGGCTTCGTGTGTTTTTGTAGAAAGAGGAATCTGTATTTGGACCCAATATTTACATAGATTGTAACTTTAGAATCATGCTAACCATAGTCCATTGGGTTGTGTCATTAAGGTGAAGAAAATGCCACAAAAATGAAAATGTCAAGGTATTTTTAGGAGAAGTCTCAAATTAGTTGGACAGTGGGAAGAATATGTCAATGTATTTTCATGGAATGCAAGTTCGTCCAGTGTTTGGTTCATGTTCTTTCATGTGTTTGGGTGCAAATCTTTAATGTGTGTCAAACTTGCACTCAAAAGATTCCCGTATGTAGTGCAATTCTTTTTAGAATGTCCCACTGATAAGCAATTCCTTAAGAACTTTCACATATTTCTAAACAATTTTCACACATTTCCATCTCTTGATTGTGAATTTGTGAATTGGCTAGGTCTCAGGTCTGTTTTGTAGGATCATCATGTGAGCTAAAGTGTCCTTTAAGCAATTCCTTAAGAACTTTCACGTATTTCTAAACAATTTTCACACATTTCCATCTATTGATTGTGAATTGGCTAGGTCTCAGGTCTGTTTTGTAGGGTCATCATGTGAGCTAAAGTGGCCATTTTCAAAGCCATCATTTAATCCAAACAAATTGACTGGAGAAATTGCTCTTAAATTGGGACATATTCCAGTAGAAAATTACACTTAAATTGCTCTTAAAAATTACTGTTGTAGAAAATATTCTAGTAAATGGGACATATATAATTTAAGATTTCAGGTTTTTCATTACTAAAATATTCTCTAAAGATGTTACTTTCTTTGACTGTATTCGAAATCTCATGTTTCATGAAGAAATTTCTGTTTGTTGCAAGAAAAACTTTGTTTAGTTAATTTCCAGCAACTGATATGGTCAAGGTTTTTGACTTATACAGTGATATATTTATTTTTACTTGTTTGGATTCTTATTTATATTTATAAGAGGGTTGATTATATATCATTTTACTTGAACTCAGTGTATCGATGGAATAAATTTTCCTACAAAGGTTGGAATGTTCCAACTTCTGAGTGTGTCATTGAGGTCCCAAAATGAGTCCATGCATGAAGCTCAAGATAGATAGAAGAGCAAACAGCTCATTTCTGATTTGAGTCTCAAAGAGTTTAGAGGTAATGAATGTTAGGAAAAAAAAGTTGAAGAACTCTTTTAGAATGTTTTCATTTTTTGGTTTTTGGAAATTAAGAGATATACTTAATGCTTGGAGACTGAGACAATCTAGGTTTACCACATCTCTTCTGCTTTACCAACCATAAATATTCTATGAGTAAATGGAGGAGTCTTGAATTTGTTATTTCATATGTGCTGGTATGATGATGGGAAAGTAATTCCCCTTTGCTGTGCAGTGAAAAGTTTGGATGGATACTTATTCCCTATTTAGAGATGTTGATCTCCCACTCCTCCAATTGAAGATTATTGGGTAACCATTAATGTTTTCGATCAGTGGTATGAAACTAGCAACTATCAGCATTCTCTAAAGCATCTGGTAGGTTTTAAGACTGTGAATTGGCCAGTTCTTAGCTGCCTGGAATGCATTACAAATGTTGATTTGTTTGAAACATTCTTCTGTTCAATGGAGGAGATGGGAAGGTGTATTTTGTGCTAAAAATTATGTTCCTGTGACTGGATAGCAATTTCATTAATAAAATGTTAAAAGTTTAGTATTAGAGACTGGTAAAGGGGAACTATAATTTATTTGTACCCATGATAGAGTTTTTCTGCTTGTTTGCCTGTTTCATGTGCAAGCAAACTATAAATATGTTATTTTCTTTTTCCTAGTTTTTGTTGATGTCTCGATGGTTCTCTGATTCCAGTGTGGAAATTGACTGTTCTTTTGGGGATTCAGAAAGCCTGAAGGAAGCTGGCTCACGAAAAAGGTGATGGTTTTCTTGTTTTCTCTTCTCTTCTTCTAGTGTTGGTCAGAGAAAGTCTTGCTACATCCTTTTTACATGTACTCATATTTGTGGTTAGTCATTTCTGGCCAGGTATTTCTTTTCTTCTTTCTAATTATTGACATAATTTTTGTGTGCTGTATTTAAAATCCTTGGCTTTACTATCCTTTAGTAGAACTATAGAAGTTCTGAATCTAATATTTGCAGAGGGAAGATATAACTCTCTGCGGACTGTAGGTCCCTACTGTGCAACACCCCTCTTACGTCGGAAGCCATCCAGCCCAGGCAAATTTGGTTCTACAAAGCTATGATAATACGCAATTAACATTTTTTTTGTGGATAAATAATAATACACAATTAACATTTATGGGCATCAAGTCCATACAACCTTGTCTTTGGTTGATTAATTGTTTGCAAGCTATGAAGTAAGGGTACTCCAAAAATGGTGCCGTACGACTATTGGGTACTTACTGGGTGCGGGTATGCGTACCGGTACGGCGGTACATGTACCGGGTACGCTGACTACATGCCAGATATGGCAAATATATTTGGGTACGTCATGGGTACGACATGAGTACGGCACTGGTACGGCAAAATGATTTTTTTTTTTTTTTTTTTTTGCAGATTCTAGAATTTATTGTAGCTTTTATTATTCTTCTTTCAATTTTGAAAATATCAAGTAATTTATTTTCAACACCCTTTACTCATGAGTCATGGCTTTGTTCTCTTTTGTATTCTATTTTAGACAATCAAAAAAGAAAAATAAATAATTATATAACTTTTTAGACAAAATATTCTCTTTTTAGTTTTGATATTGAAACTTTGATTTGTATGTTGGATGTTTAGCATGCCTGTATCCATACCCGCACCCGTGCTTCATAGTTTGCAAGCATGGTTTTAGTTTCCATGATTACCTTACATAAACTAAATGCAATCTTTTCCGTGGGAGTGTAATTTCATGCAAGCATGGTTTATTACTCAACTTTTAGTGTATTGAGGCAATCAGAATCAACAGAATGGCTAATAGCATAAAAACAGATCCAAGTAAAGTATAAAGGAAAAACTGATATGCGTCATTACTGAGATGCTCATTCATAACAAATCTATGCTTGGATACTGTGAGGCTTCCTCAAAACTGTGACAATTATTGAAAAACAGAAGAAATCCTTTTTTTTTTTTTTATGGGTGGGAATGCAGTTAACCTTAGGTTTGTTCCTACCATACATTCCACTCATTGGAAACCTTCATACATTGGAGGGCTTCAAAACATGATTTCATAAAATGCTGCAGTAAAGCACTCTTATTTATTTAGAGAGATCAGTGGCTGCATAATCAGACCAGTGGTGGACGGTTAGGTGGGAAGGTGGGGCCATAATTCCCCCAGCCATTGAAGAAATCTTTTATATCCATGGATGCTAATGTGTAAATAGGATATAGTATTACTAGTTTCCTTTGAAGTGGTTACCCTAATTCAACTATGCTGGTCCCATAAATATTTAAAGGGTAAATTGTACGTTGCACCCTTACACTTTACTCCAATCCAAATTTGCCCCATGACCTTTCAACTATCTTAAGTCAAGTTGCACTTGAACCCATTTGTATAAAGCCGTAACGAAGTAGAATTCGTAGCCCAAATGCTTAGCAGTAGTTGGATGAACCTTCAGTCAATGTTTTGAAAACCGGAGCGGTGAGTGAATCAGAAAAGCGATCGGGGTGGACGGGTTATTGGTTCAACTATTGAGTTGAACCGGTTGAACCGTGACGTCATAATTAATAATATATAATTAAAAAATATAATTATAAATAAATAAAAATATATATAAGTATTGAAATAAAAATAAAAATTGTTGCATAGTATTTACTAATAATATTTAAACAATGGAAGCTATCTATCTTTTGAGGAGAGTAATTGAAAAGTATAAAGAAAATAAAAAAAGACATTCATTTGGTGGGTGTTAGAGAAGAAATGACTGACAAAATGCTATATTGATGTGCTTAGGGATATATATGAAGGTGTGATGACCACTATTAGATCATCAGTAGGAGAGACAAGTGAATTTCCAATTACTGTAGGGTTACACCAAGGATCAACCTTAAACTCATAGTTTTTTGCTTTAGTTATGGATGAGTTGACGAGAAATATTTAGGACGATGTGCCGTGGTGTATACTTTTTGCAGATGATATCGTGTCAGTCGATGAGACTAATGAAAGAGTTAATATTAAGTTGGAGACTTGGATAGAAGCACTTGAATCTAAAGGATTTAGGATAAGCAGAACTAAGATAGAGTACACGGAGTGTAATTTTAGTAACAACAATGGAAGCAGAGGAGAAGTGAAGATTGAGGACCAAACACTACCTTAGAGTAAACATTTCCGTTATTTAGGATCGATTATCACAACGACTGGGGAGATTTGTGCGGATGTGATCCATAGAAATTAGGCGAGATGGCTTAAGTAGAGGAGTGTGTCTGAGATACTATGCAATAAACGAGTACCTACTAGACTAAAAGAAAAGTTCTATAGAACGGCTATTAGATCAGCAATGTTGCATGGGACAGAATGTTGGGCAATTAAGAAACAATATGTAGATAATATGAGTGTTGCTGAGATAAGGATGTTTAGGTAAATGTGTGACAAGAGTAGGAAAGACAGAGTTGGGAACGAGTATATTCGAGAAGGGGTAGGAGTAGTACCGATAGAAGATTAGTTGAAAGAGAATAGATTGAGATGGTTTGGTCATATGTAACGGAGACTAACAGAGGCAATAGTGATGAGATGCGATACAATGACGGTAGATGGAAGTGTTAGGGGAAGGGACAAATTTAGATTGATGTGGGCTAATGTAGTAAATAGAGATATGAATCTCCTTAATATGGCTAATGATATGGCCTTGGATAAAGTCGAATGGAGAAGAAGGATTTATGTAGCCATCCCAATTTGATGGGATTTAAGGCTTGGTTTGGTTTGGTTTGGTTTGGTATTTAATAAAGTCATAATTGATATATATAAAAAAAAAGGCACTAGTTTTAAAGAAATTAAAAAAATTTAACATTTTTTCCAAACAAATTGATTGAATGCTAGATTTAATTTTGGAGTGAAATAAAATTTTCAACTCTCCCTCCAATCAAATATAATTCAAACATTTTGATTGAATCCTGCATAGAATTTTTAGATTCTCTTTGAACAATCTTTTCCTATAAATAGGAATAGAGTTTCATAATCTCTTCAAGATTCCAATGAGACTCCTCATGAAAGGAGACTCTTGAAGTAAAATTTTAGTCAAAATTTTGATATATATATAATATAAATATATAAGAAAGAAAGAAAGAAAGAAAAGAAGAAAAAAAATAAAATAAAATAAACAAAATTTTCCAACTGGCGGGTTGATCAGGAATCAGAACTGGTTCACCAGTTTTACCGGTTGAACCACCAGTTTTTCCGGTTTATGCAAACAAGGCCGGTTTTTGTCGCTTATCCTGACTGGAACTAGGTCCGGTCCGGTTCTTTAAACATTGCCTTCAGTATCTCTCTGTCATTGATTCTTTTTCACTAAAAAAGTTTTTCCAGTACCCCTTCCTATGTCTCATTATGTTCCATGATGTATATGCAATTTATTATGCAGGGTAAAGTCTGAATCATGCAGTGTGTCTGGCTCGAAAGCATGTCGGGAGAAACTACGGAGGGATAAGCTGAATGAGAGGCATGCTGTGATCCTTTCTCTTCTTTGATTGGTGTTGTCTATCTATTAATTCTCACATTAAATTTGGCATGATCTCAAGGTTCCTGGAATTGGGTTCTGTCCTGGAGCCTGGAAGGCCACCAAAAACAGACAAGGCTGCTATTCTGAGTGATGCTGTTCGTATGGTGACTCAGCTACAAAGTGAAGCCCAAAAGCTAAGGGAGTCAAATGATGATTTGCATGAGAAGATCAAAGAATTGAAGGTGAGGCTTGGGTTATATTGGCTATTTCAAAGATTAGTCATCCTCTATCTTTTACATGGACAAACCTCTATCTAGAAATCACGGATTCATCAGCCTCTCATTTTTTTTATTCTCCTAGGCTGAACACAGGTTTAAATAAGACAAATTACACCAGTAGTCCCTATACTTTTGCCCTTGTGTCATGTTGGTTCTTATAATTTCAATTAGATTGATTGACCCTGAATTTGTGATTACTCAATTTGGTCTAATTAATTATGTCTGTTGGCATTTTTTATGGACAATGCACATGTAGGCTAAACTGCTCAACTCAGAGAGTTAACTGCAACCATCTGCACATGTGGGCTAAACTGCTCAACTCAGAGAGTTAACTTCAACCATCTTAGTGATCATTTTCCATAAAAAAACTCAGGTGTTACCAATTGCAAAATTGACGTAAAATCTAAAATTATGAGTCAAATCAACCCAATTGAAAGTGTAAGGACCAAAATGATATAAGGTTCAAAATGCAGGGATGACCGATATAATTTTCCCTATAAAATATGAGCTGGGTAAGATGGTTTGTTTGATATTCTATATTTGTGCAGGCTGAGAAGACTGAGCTTCGGGATGAGAAGCAGAGGTTAAAGGCAGAGAAGGAGAAGCTGGAGCAGCAAGTCAAAGGCATGAGTGCACAACCAGGCATGAGTGCTGGTGACAAGTTGATGCCTTTCATTGGTTACCCAGGCGTCGCCATGTGGCAATTTATACCGCCTACTGTGCGTGACACATCACAGGATCATGTGCTCCATCCTCCAGTTGCTTAAGTTGGAGGATGAAATCACTGAAAATGGTTGGTCCACATTTCCTCTCCCCAAGATTGTTTATTTGTTGTATTCTATCACTGTTCTCAACCTTTTTTATGTTCGTTTCTTGAGGTTGGAAGAAACCTTTATGAGGTGGAAAATTGATGTTTAGGAGCTCTGCTTACTCTTTCATGTTTTGCTGATTGCCTGTAACATAAAAATAAGTGAATATGTTGGTTTTCATTGCTAAATATGTGAACAAAGAAACCTGGAGTCATCATCATCTAAGAAGGGATTGACAAAGAAACAAATTCAGAAAAAAAGAAATGAACATGACATGGTCCTGAACACAACACCGTACATAGACCTGAACACAATATAGATCTCTCTCTCTCTCTCTCTCTCTCTCTCTCTCTCACTCAGAGGCTCACAGGGTCAATAGTATGGCCACGGCAAAACTAAATCCGACTGAATACCCGACAAGGGTATTGATTTTGGTAGCTGATGATGAGGGATGCGGCGGTGCAAAGCCATTTGGAGGAGAGTTTGCAAGAGGTTCTGTTGAAGGAACATGATAGGGTGATGCGAGACTGCTCACAGGTGAGAGAGGAGACGTTGTCGGAGCAGGAATTGGTGAACTCATAGTTGGTTGAGTTTCACTTTCAGGTGGTGGGAATGGTGAAGCGATTGATGGGTTAGGAGGAGTTGCTATCGATGGAGGACTTGCTTGGGAAGCAAGTGTGTCGACCTCAACCTTCATTCCTTGGCTACAATGCCCCATAGATCCACAGATGAAGTATCTCTTTCCTGGAGAAGTGAGAGGGACGACCGTGTTACCGCCACTGTAGGTCTGAATTGGGTTACTTGTCTGGCAGGAGTCATGGTCTGCCTTTGTAACTTCAAGCACATTGTGGTTTGGCATGTACTGGAAAACTGCAATTCAAGAGCATCCCACTTTAGCAATCTTTCCTTCAAAAACTTTATCATGAATTATGTAAATTTTGAAAAATTCCCTCCCTTTTATGATATTAGCTATGATATGTGCACAGAACAGAGACAAGGGTGTATGCTCCCACTATTTGTCTATGTTCTGTGCTATGCAATAAGTCTACGAATACATAACTAACCGAATAAAATATAGGTAAGTGAAACTATTTCTTTGGTAAGGATCCTATACTATTTGATATTCATGGCTGTGATTATTTTATGTAGTTGGTTTTGTGATCGGTTTTGTGTCTGCAAACTTATTGTATGATACTTGTTTCGGAATCTGGTAGCTTACATGCATTTTGACATTGAGGGTGATAAATTTTAGATTCGAAATGATTTTTTGACAACTTACGCAAATCGTCTCCAACAGAGAAAGATTGTGATGAAGCCCATGATTGGACGTTGGTGCTCATATCCCAGCCGCCGTTGGGACCTCCAACGGTGTAGTTTGTTGCCATGGCTACACTGAAGAGCAGCATGGCTGTAACAGCCAAGCTCACTAGTGTTCTCACCACTGCCATTTTTGGGCACAATGTGAAATTGTTGGATGGCAAAAACAGCCCAAATTTAGAGATGAGAAGTAAGTTTCAGTGTGAATTGTGTTTTTTGGTTTTTGGTTAGGAATTCCAGTCCATTTATGCAGACCAAAAGGGACTATGAACGGAGTGTTTTCTTAGAGTGAAGATAATATTTGTTTATGGGCTTGGTCATGTTTTAGTTGTGTCCACTTTTTACTTTTGGTTACTTGAATATACACTTTATATTAGTGGATATAAATTTGTGTATATGTTGGTGCTCGTATTTAGTATTTATCTATCTGTGTAACCTGAAAAGGTCAAAACTAGTTTATGGAGTGGTTCATGTACATGTGATGTTTGAGAGGATGAATATTTTTCTGCCGGGGGTTCACCTAATCCAAGTAACCAAACTCACCCACTGCAAGATGTACCAACTATCCATACTCCCACATTGCGTGTCTGCTTTCATTTTTTATTTTTTTAAAAAAGAATTAAAAAAAAATTGATATTGAAAACTGGTTTAGCAATTTTTTTTTTTTTTGGAAATTTGTTCTAGTTGCCATTAAATCCCCCTTTACAGGAAACATATTTAAATTGCTTTTGAAATTTCAGAAACACAAACAATTTTTGTACAAATATGAAAACAAGAAGTATTTTCAAATTTTATTACGATTTTGGGTTGTGTTTATAACAATCAAAGCCAAAACCAAAACAAAAACAAAAACAAAAACATCCGAAATGAAAAACACCAGTCGATATTTTATTTTATTTTATTTTTTTTTCTTACATTTTAGTCATCGCGTGTTATTTCCCTCTTAGGAGTATGACATAGTGATGATAGTTTGCCAACGCAACCAATGTGCAATTCTGTGTCTGTTGGTCCCAAAGACAAATCCTAGACAAGCAAAGTGTGCCACAGAAAAGGCACAGAATACTCACAAAACAATACAATGATAAAATAGAAAAGACACAGAATACTCACAAAACAATACAATCAAAACAATACAATGATAAAATAGAAAAGACACACAGAATACTCACAAAACAATACAATCAAAACAATACAATGATAAAATAGAAAAGACACGAAATACTCTCAAAACAATACAATGATAAAATCCTAAAGATGAAAAAAGTGTGCCACGGAAAAAGGCATAGAATGGATACTATGTGCTTTTTTTTTTTCTTTTTTTTTTTTGACATAATTTCTGTGTTCCTAGAGAAGGCGATTTCCAAATAATTTATAGCCTATGATGGAAATCATGGTGCCATAAACAGAGGTGGAACTCTAGACTATGCAAACATTTCAAAGGGTGTGTTGTATGGATAAATTAAAAAGTAATGCCAAAAATCAAGAAGAAGATTGTAAGCGTTTAGATTTATCAACGCTGTGTTTAATTAGGGGATTTGAAAAGTGATTTGGAAAGGAAAAAGAGAAAAATTATGTAAAATGTGAATAAAATATACATACGTTTCACTTAGTTTCACACATTTTTTCTTTTTTTCTTTCTAAATCTCTTTCTAAATTTTTCAACCAAACACAACCTACGAATGTTAATTTCACTGTACAAGTGTTGAATCTAGACCTCATGATCTGAATTCTAGGCTGCTAAAAGTAAAATAAAGTGATGGGCTTGATTCAGAGGTTTACAAGTTGTAAAACTCAGGACAATATTATGGAATGATGTTGCACGGCGAAACACATAGTTATAGCACAGAAGAATAGGGTAGTACTAGTACTAGTTTCTCGCAACTATTAAGTCCAAGGTGAAGTACACTGTTATTTGTACTATTGAGCGGTTTTCTAGAACTTGGCTTGCTGATACTTCTATCAAAAGAGAAATTCCACCGGTGCCTATCATATGCATTTATTATAAATTGATATGATTTTACCATGAAATTTTATAATATCAATTATAAAATATGTAATCTCACCATAAATTAACGTAATAAAAATGTTGTAACTAAGTCATAAATTTTTGTTATATTACTATAAAATTTTAGATATTTTATTATTTTAACTTGTGACGAGATTACATATTTTGTAATTAAAATTACAAAATTTTGTAATAAAATTACGTCAACTGTGATAGGATGTATATAGTATACACCTTTGGAGTTCTTCCTCCTATGAAAAATAAGAAAAATGTTAAATATATTTACACAAGTGAAAGAGTTTTATTTGTAGTTATTAATGTGGGTGTTATTACTTTGTGTCTTGGAATGATAAAATAAGAAAAAATTTTATGATACACATCCCTCCAATTGACGTAATTTTATAATAAATTTTTGTAATATTAATTATAAAATACATAATTTTGTCACAAATTAATGTAACAAAAAATATCATAACTAAGTTACAAACTTTTGTTATATAATTACAATTTTTTAAAAATTTTATTACATTAATTTATAATAAAATTACACATTATAATTGAAATTATGTGACACCTCTTTTAAGAGGTGTGTACCATGGGTTTTTCTCTTTTCGTTCCTAGTTTTCCCAAGTGGACCAAGTAAATAGTGGAACTAGGGCTTCAAACGAGTTGAGTCGAGTTGATCCGAACTTTAGTATATTTGGGCTTGTTTATTAAGATTTTAACGAACTTGAGCTCGAACTCAAGCTCAATAAAAATTTAACGAACTGAGCTCGAGCCGAGTTGGCTTAGGCTCGACTCGAGTTCGAGCCTGTTCACGAGCCTTAACGAGCCAAAAAATTTATAAATTCATACTTGAATGTGAGACTAAAGTTACAATTAAAACTTTGATTATGCACTTATATATACAATATGTATAAACATACTAAAAAAAAGTCCATATTTTACTAAAATAATAATATCTACTACCACTATTATATAAATGTACTATCTATAGTTAACTATTATTTACATTTATATTTTTTAAATATATATATAGCATATTTCTCTTATTTTTTATACATATTTTTATATTATTTAATATATAAATAATAAAAATATTTTTTATATTATTTAATATATAATATAAATAATAAATATTAAATGAGCCAGCTAACGAACCGAGCTTTAGAATGTTTGAACTTATTTATTAAAAATTTAACGAGCTCGAACTTGAATGTAAAAAAAAAATTAACAAACTGAGTTTGAACGAGTTCTTACCGAACCGAATTCAAGCTTATTCATAAACGAACGACTCTGTTCATTTACCGCCCTAAATGAAACCAAGCTCAGGTAGGCATAACCCCTAAATCTAACCTCTGAACGGCCCAAGGCTTTAACTGCAATGGGGTGTGGCTTAAGATGGGCTAGTTATCTAAAAATTAGCCATCTTCTCTTTGCGGATGAGTGTAATATTTTTTACTTACTTGGCGGAGGAGGTTTGGATTTTGAAGTCGTTCCTTGCAGCCTGTTGTGACCAATCTGGTTTAAGCATCAATTTTGCAGTCTGATATCTTTTTTAGTGCCAATTTGGCAGAATCCACTCGAGTTCTCATTTCTACCACTCTGGGGGTTAGTATTGTAGCTAAACCTAGAATCTATAAAGTATGTGTGCTTCAAAAAAATATGTTGTATTTGTATCGGATATTTTTAGTATATGTTATTTTATATGATATCTTTGTATATGTATCAGGTATATAAAATACGTATTTAAATTTTTTTCTTAATATTTAATGTATCCAGGCGTATCTATTATATACTTAAGTTGTACTATACCTTAGTTAAAACAATATTTTTTTTTCTCTTACAAAGATAAAACTTTTTTCACTAAACTTCTTTTTTATTTTTAGTTTTATACTTAGAATGATTTTAAAATTAAACTATAGTTTGTAAGTTATTTAGTAAATTGACATTTAGTTTTAATTATACCTTTAGTTTTGGAATTAAATATTAATTATAGGTTATATCTTAGTAAATTAAACTATTTAATTAAATTTTGTATTACTCTAAATTAAAAAATATATATTTTTACAAGCGTATTAAATTGTATCTATATCTTTTTTTTTTTTTTTTTAAATTTTACCGTATTAACATACTCATATCGTACTAATATTAATATTAATATCCATTCCTATGTTACAGCTTAGAATCTATTTGGGAGCAAACTTGGACATTACTCGTTCAAAAAGCCATATTTTTCCAAGAGTGATCACTCAGATGAAATCTAAGCTTAATGGGTAGAAATGAGCCTTAACTTATTTTGCTGGACGGTGTGTTTTGGTGAAGCATGTGCTTTCTTCTTTTCCTATTTATTTGTTGTCAGTGTTTAAAGCCGCATTGTATTTTCTTAGATACAAGTTCGGTCTCTTTGTCGTCGATTTCTTTGGGCCTCCCCTCAAAGGTCGAGGAGTTTGCTAGAAGAAGTGGATTTCTTTATGCAAGTCCAAGTTTGCAAGTAGGTTAGGATTTCGGGATTTGAGCTGTCTCAATCAGGTTTTCCTTGCTCGTCAAGCTTGGTGGATATTGACTTTCCCAACTTCTTTGCTTAGCTAAGTTTTTGGGGGCGAAATATTGTAAATCTCTATCTTTTTTATTGGTCTCTCATAAAGCGAGGTGTTCTTGGGGTTGGCACAGTATTTTATGGGCCGTGATCTCCTGTCCAAAATTCTTAAATGGTTGGTGTGAGTATTAATTTCGGATCACACAACCAAACGAGGAACTTAGTTGGAGAGCACAGATAGAATAAATTAAGTCCAAACAATCTGTCACAGAAAGATAAGAATCTGGCAGTGATTCGTCCACTCGAGGGCACTTCGACGCTCAAGTCAGTAATCAAATATCTCTCAAAGATAGCAAATTGTGCTTAACTACTAAGAAAGAACTTATTGCTCACAGTCTATTACACCTAAAAACATATCTTAGACCCACGAGCATGCCCTGCTTTTATAGCCAGCTCTGACCTGATCCTTGTAAAAGCCTCACTTCAGTGGACTCAGACTTAATGCTCATCTTGAACCCTCATCTAGATAGAGATAAACTCTTTTTGAGCCTTATCTTTATCTAGAATGAGATTCTCTTCTGTTCTAGGAATCTTGCACATCAGCAGGGTCGGCTAGGTGCATAAACGGCGGTCAAATTTTGGAAGAATCTTGACATTGTCAGGTAAAGTAGAGGAGGTTACTGTAATTATTCAAACCACAGGAGAGGTTCCTGTATTTATCAAAAATCTCAGAAGAGGTAAATATAATTTACCACGAACGAACGACTCTATTCATTTACCG